CGGAGACGCCCTCTGGAGTAGCGGTCTGCAGATCTTCCGGGCCCAATGAAAGCCCTTTGCAGCAGCTGAAGAGGAGCAAAGGTCTGGGCTGAGCAGCATCTTGGAGGGTTGCGGGGATCACAGGGTTTGCGCGCAGGGCTGCCCGGAGGAGGAGGAGGTCTCCGAGCGGAGCCTTGCGGACAAAGGTCTGGGTGAGCGGGGCAGCGGCAGCTGCGGCGGTCAGCGTGCAGGCGGCAGGGGACCCGAGGGGGCCTGGCGGGGTGAGGGCCCCAGCACGGGCCCAGGAGGGTGTCCAGACTGGTGCCTCGCGCCCGCGGCTCAGGATCATCCGCAGCTGCCCGCTGGGCCCTGGCGCGAACCTGCCCGGGACCGCTTGCCCGAGGGCGGCCGCGCAGGAAAAGTCTCAGCTCCTTCGGGCGCGAGGACAGTGACGGACGGGAGTCACGGCTCGGCTGCGCGCTGTGCCCACAGGCGCTGTTCGTGGTGCTGCTGCTGGGCTGGCTCTTCACCCCGGTGTACCTGACCGCCGGCGTCATCACCATGCCGCAGTACCTGCGCAAACGCTTCGGCGGTCGTCGCATCCGCCTCTACCTGTCGCTGCTCTCGCTTTTCCTGTACATCTTCACCAAGATCTCGGTGCGCATGCGCGGCGGCCGGGACGGGCTCCTAGAAGGGGCGGGGCCGCCCCGCAAAGCCTGGGAGAGTTCGAGCGCGCGGCGCCAGGGAAACCCTGGTGGAAACCCTGGTGGAAACCCCGTGGAGGCAGCGCCTGGGAGGAATAGGGCACAGGGGCCAGGGCTACAGTAGATGCGACCAGGCTGTTAAGAAATGAGGGACCCTTTGAAGTGTGGCCACCTAGGACTGTGGATTGAGCAGGAGGTGAACGCGGTCACTGACTTGTGTGCTTGCTCTTCCCCAAGGTGGACATGTTCTCCGGGGCCATATTCATTCAGCAGGCCTTGGGCTGGAACATCTACGCCTCTGTTATCGCGCTGCTGGGCATCACCATGGTTTATACGGTGACAGGTGGCTTCAGCAGAAGCCTGGGAGGGGAGCTGGCCCGGAACGTGTGTTGGGAGCTGTGACTGGGGTTTCGGGGAGCAACTAGAAGAAACGGGGAGCAAGAGACCCGCAAATCTGATATGGTCCAGGGAGGAGAACGAACAGGAGAACCCCTGGGGAACAAACTTTTTCTCTTCCCACTGACCCTTGGATTTGGACTGGAAGGTCCAGCGCCAAGCTGGTTTGGGGCTTGAATGGGGCTTGGGGAAGTGAAGATTTTCCACTCTGCTCCCCACACCACCTTTTGAGACAGGGTCTCACCGCATAGATCAGGCTGGCCTTGAACTTACTATGCAGCCCAGGCTGGCCTCAAACACACAGTGATACTCCTGCCTCAGCTTCCCAAGTGCTGGGGTTATAGGAGTGTGCTGCCACACCTGGCTGATTTTACCCTTCTTAAATGCCGGGGAGTGGATTTGGTCAGTTAAGATCTCTGTCCACAGTGCAGCTCTGAGGATTCCAGGGTGGGACCTGAGTCTGATGCAGAGCAGAGCAGGGTAGCGGGGTCTGGTGCCGTCACCGGGATAGGATGGGATGAGAAGTGGGCCCTAGAGAATCACCCCCTCCTACCATTTAGATGAGGGAGCTGGGGGCTAGAGGGAGTCTAGAGAGGAGATCCTGCGTGTGGGTGCCTGGCCAAGGGGCCTCAGTGGAACCTAAAACTCAGGCCACTCTGCTCTCCAGGCTGTACTTCCTGGCGCTGCAGTGCAGGAGTCCGGAGGTTGGCCCATGGTTTTGAAATTTGTTCTCCAGAAAGGAAACTTCTTCAGAATCTTAGGAAGGCCCCTCTGAGCTAGGGATCAGGGGCTGGGCTGTCTCCACTGACTCGGCGCTGTTGCAGGAGGACTGGCAGCGCTGATGTACACGGATACGGTGCAGACCTTCGTCATTCTTGGGGGGGCCCTCATCCTCATGGGTTACGGTACGGGGCTCAGCCAGTGGGGGAGGGGCACGGGGGCCGGGCAGGGGCCTCAACGTCTCCAGCGTGTGGACCCTGGGAAGGGCCTTAGCGTTTGCCTTTCCCGAACAGCCTTCCACGAAGTGGGTGGGTATTCGGGCCTCTTTGACAAGTACCTGGGAGCTGTGACCTCACTGACGGTGTCCGAGGATCCAGCTGTGGGCAACGTCTCCGGCTCCTGCTATCGACCTCGGCCTGACTCCTATCACCTGCTCCGGGACCCTGTGACAGGGGACCTGCCGTGGCCTGCACTGCTTGTGGGGCTCACCATCGTCTCCGGCTGGTACTGGTGCAGTGACCAGGTGAGCGGTCAGGGCAGCAAGCGAGGGAAAGTGCTGAGCCGGAGGCCGCGCAGGAACTAGAGCGGGGGTGGAGGGGGACGGCAGCCCGAGGCAGGCCCGAGGGGCTGGAGTCCAGGGGTCACACCCAGGCAGGTGATCACGCCTCGTCACAGGTCATCGTGCAGCGCTGCCTGGCTGGAAAGAACCTGACTCACATCAAGGCGGGCTGCATCTTGTGCGGTTACCTGAAGCTGATGCCCATGTTCCTCATGGTCATGCCAGGCATGATCAGCCGAATCCTCTACCCGGGTAACGTCCGCATCGCTGCCCTGCCCGAGTTCTGGGCTGCGCCCAGCCCCTTTCTACTGTAAGGACCCCAGTGCCAGTCCTCCTCCCGGCACCCTCCTCAGATGAGGGAAGCTGGTGACGATGTCCTGCCTCCGACCAGAGGTCCCACCTCCCCCCTGCCAGGATTCCCAGCCTCCACTAGGATTCGGCCCCAGGGCGGGCTCCATCCTACCCACTCTCTTGCAGACGAAGTGGCCTGTGTGGTGCCCGAGGTGTGTAAGCGCGTGTGTGGCACGGAGGTGGGCTGCTCCAACATTGCCTACCCACGGCTTGTGGTGAAGCTGATGCCCAACGGTGAGGGCAGGCCCGTGCGCTGTCCCTTGCCCACACGAGCAGGGACCTGGGACACTGCCCTTGCGGAAGGGCGACCCCGCTTTTACAGCTCCTGTTCGGCTACAGGTCTGCGTGGACTCATGCTGGCCGTCATGCTGGCGGCGCTCATGTCCTCGCTGGCCTCCATCTTTAACAGCAGCAGCACGCTCTTCACCATGGACATCTACACCCGCCTGCGGCCCCATGCGGGCGACGGGGAGCTGCTGCTAGTCGGACGGTGGGCCTCGGCTTTCGCCCTCCTGCCTCACGGATTAGCCTGGGTTGGGGCACGGAGGATTACAGGACCGGAGGGTCCTGGCTGAAATCACTCGATGGCCCCCACTGCAGGCTCTGGGTGGTGTTCATTGTGGCGGTGTCGGTGGCCTGGCTTCCGATAGTGCAGGCCGCACAGGGCGGGCAGCTTTTCGATTACATCCAGTCGGTCTCCAGCTACCTGGCGCCCCCCGTGTCCGCCATCTTCGTGCTCGCAGTCTTCGTGCCCCGGGTTAACGAGAAGGTGAGCGGCACGCGCACCTTCGAGCTCGGGCAGCGCCTGACACCCTGAGGCTGACGCTGTCTCCCCCGCAGGGCGCCTTCTGGGGGCTGATCGGGGGCCTGCTGATGGGCCTGGCGCGCCTCATTCCCGAGTTCTCCTTCGGCACGGGCAGCTGCGTGCGGCCCTCGGCGTGCCCGGCGCTCATCTGCCGGGTGCACTACCTGTACTTCGCCATCGTGCTCTTCGTCTGCTCCGGCCTCCTCACCCTTGTGGTGTCCCTGTGCACCGCGCCCATCCCACGCAAGCATGTGAGTGGTGGCCTCCGCGGACAGGACGGGCACTGTGCAGACCCATTTCCATGCAGTGGGGCCAGGCGTGGTGGTGCACGCCTGTAAGCCCAGCACTCCGGAGGCTGAGGCAGAAGGACCGTTGCGAGTTCGAGACCAGCTTGGGCTACAAAGTGAGCTCAAGGCCAGCCTGCACTCAAGAGCGAGACTCTGTCTCAAAAAGAAAAAAAACAAAAAACAAAACAAAACAAAAAACCCCATTCAGCAGGGAAGGTGGGAATTCCTACACTGAGGTCGAGGGGCGAGCGCAGGAGTCCAGTGTGAAGCTGCAGTTACAGAGCAAGCAGAGATTCTCACTCGGATGACATTTATTTGAAGTGGCTGAGGGGGGTTTGAGCTGAACACTTTGGCAGGTTGGTGATTAAAGCTCCCCAAAGCCTGGACTTTGGGATACAAAACACGAGACAGGCTGAGAGGAACACAGCATCACCTCGAAAACCCACAAAAGGGGCTGGCTGTGCGCCGCCCCAGGGACGGGGCTCCCAGCGCAGCGGACGGCAGGGACAAGATACGGAGCTGCGCTGGGGGAAGGGGGCGGCTGAACAGACCTCACAGGCACGAACACAGGCAGCAGAACCGGGAGGCTACAGCTGTGAGGGTGGACAGGTCACTCGGGTGATGAGGCTGGGGTGCGCACAGCCGGTAGCTTTAAATACCCAGCTGAGGAATTCGGGGCTCAGCCCGAGGGCAAAGGGGCAGGCGTGGGAGGGGAAGGAGGCCGTGACAGCCGGTGTGCAGAGCACAGCTGGGGCCAGAGCACAACCCCCACTCGCCCCGCTTCCGCCCGCCCAGCTCCACCGCCTGGTTTTCAGTCTCCGGCACAGCCAGGAGGAGCGGGAGGACCTGGATGCTGAGGAACCGGAGGCCCCCACACCCTGCCCGGTGCAGAACGGGCTGCCAGAGCGCGCGGAGGAGACGGAGGGTAAGAACTGCCCGGGGAGGCGGCCCTGCGAAGCCAACCTCCTGCCAACTAACCGCGCGGCCTCGATTTCCCCCAGGGCCCCGGTCCCCGGCCCCTGGCCCGCTCCGCCGGTGCCTGCTGTGGTTCTGTGGCATGAGCAGGGGCCGGGCAGGCCGCCCCCCACCCCCGGCTGAGGAAGTGGCGGCTGCAACAGCCAGGAGGCTGGAGGACATCAGCGAGGACCCACGCTGGGCCCGTGTCGTCAACCTCAATGCCCTGCTCATGATGACGGTGGCCGTGTTCCTGTGGGGCTTTTATGCATGAAGGCAAATGCGTTGGACACCTAAGCCACAATGGAGCAGGGTTCAGCCTCACAGTAGTGGGGGTGGGGAGCCTGCAGCGGTCCTCCGAAAAGGAGAACGGGCAAGGGTGGGAAGGCCCCGGTCCTCCTCCTCCCTGCTTCCTCTCTGCCTGGGGCCCAGTGCACCTGACCGGCAGTCGTTTCCTCGGAGGCCTTGGCCACCCTGCTGCAGCCTAAGCATAAATAAAGTCGCTCTTCCCGTGTCCTGCTGTGGCCTACACGCCAGGCTCCCGTCCTGGGCCCCACCGCAGCTGCTCACAAGTCCTTCTTTTCCGGAGACAGGAGCCACGTAGCCCTCCACTCGTCCACCTCGAGCTGGTGCTTCTCGGTCTGCCAGCCGGTGGCCCGCAGGCCTGGGGAGAGGAGACGGGTGATGCTGGGGGGAGGCGGGGCTGCCGGGGGACTACGCAGCGGCACAGAGCAGATACAGCCCTGGTGCGCTGCCTGGGCGATCTCCGGGGTAACTTTAGGCTGAACTCTCATGTGAATGCAGCCAAAATTCGAGACAATACATAGAAAAGGGGCAGAACAGAGGAAGCTCTAAATAAAAGGTCTTTATCAGTACATCAGCCCTACTCCCACCCCTAGTTCTTAAAGGCCAACTGGGGTTACACAGACTGTGGACACCAACACAGCCTCAGAGGCCATCCTAAGCTCCCCACTCCACAGAGGGAAACTGAGCCCTAGCCTTAAGATACCGCAGAGAAGCCCGGTCTTTTATTCCCCAGGTGAAAGCGTGGGGTGAGTATAGGAGGGCCCTGGGGGATAAGAAGATATGGCACCTGAATTACCTTCCAAAAACGTGGGGAACAGCCTGTCCAGCACTCCATAGCTCTCCCTGACGATGGCCCAGCTATCGTTCCCAGGACCTGAGGCAGGTGCAGAACCAGAAGCTCTTACGTCCTCCAAGGACACAATCCCTGTCCTCCTCACCCGTGCTCTGAGGCCCCAACGTCCAGACCACGAGGCTCTTACCTGCCCGTAACCGGCTCCTCAGTTCCTCCAGCTCTCGTGGAAGGGGCCCATCTTCCCGCAGGGCTCCCAGCAGCAGCCCGTGGGTGGCAGCCTTTAGGACTGCTTCCGGGCCTGCCATCTGGCTCAGAACTACCTGCACCTGGTCTGCAGAGACCCAGGGGAAGGCAGGGTATCAGGGAAGGGCTACCTCTCCACACACCCTCAACCCTGTTCCCCCAGACGCCCTCGCCGGGCATCGAGGGCCCTTTCCCCAACCCTTCCTGTGCAGCTTCATTTCCCGTTGCTTCCCAATGCTCTGGCCAAACTGAAACGTCCAGTGTTCAAATACAGCTTCACAGCGCTCAGTGAGGCGTGCCAGTGAGAATTAATCCCACGAGCAGATCAGCAATCGCAAGGATGGTTTTGCCAAGAGGGGCGTTGTAGAGAACCCTTTCCCGGGGATGGCCAAAGGGCACCACCCCTTTGAGTGTGTGGCAATACCCAACGTGCTTTTACATAACCACCTCCTATGAGCCACAGACAAACACGACAGGTCACAAGGCAGCGGAGGGCTAAACTGACTTCCAAAAGGCGCCCGGGACGTGAGCGCGTCAGCTTTAGTTTGCAGCGCCCACCGCTGAGCACTGAACTGGGACGGGGTGAGCTGAGCCCAGGAGCCCGAGTCCACGGCTGGAAGAACGTGGCACACTCACTTCGTGACTGGTTCCAGCAGAGCAGATAGGGTTCTTGGTGCCCCTCAACCAGCTGCTGCAGCTCGGAGACACTGGCGGAGAGGAGACGGTGGGGGAGGGGGAAGCCAAGGCAGCGGCCTCCACCTGGGCAAACCGTCAGCCCCACCTGCCCGTCTGCGCCCTTTCACTCACTCCCCATCTGTTCCTGTTACACCCAGCCCACGCCCGCCCTTCCTTTCCCCACAGTCCAGTCTCCCATTCCCAGCCACGGTCCTTCCTGCATCTATCTTGTATTTCGTTTGTTTTGGTTTTTTTTGGTTTTTTTTGGTTTTTTTTGAGACAGCGTCTCGGTATACAGTGCAGGCTGGCCTTGAACTCATTGCAATCCTCCTGCCTCAGCCTCCCGAGTGCTGGGATTACAGGCGTGAGCCACCACGCCCGGCAAATACATCTCTTCTACCTACTCAGTCGCACACTGCTGCCCTCAGGCTCTCACGCTGGCCTCAAGTCTGTTTAGAGGAAATGAAAAACCCGGAACAGAGAGGTGGGCCCTGGTCAGTGAGGCCAGCGGTACCAGAGCAAGAAGCACGTGAGGCAGGTGTGGGAGGGGGACGTGGTGTGTGGGAGACACGGGGCCACTCACCTGGAGACCACGCAGTGTAGAGGAACTCCTAGCGACAGAGACAGCGACGGCCAGAAACCTGTGGGGAGCAGGAGTCAGGACGCACAGGCATGGGCAGAGGCTGGGAGGCGCAGGACGCGGGACCAAGGGCTTGGGGTCACCTGTCCAGAGCGGCTCCATCTGATTGGCTGAAGCGGTGTCAAGTACCTCCCCCCTCTGCAGAAAGTGCTTCAAGACCAGCTGGAGCCTCTTCTCATTCAGGGTCTCCATGACGAGGGCACGCACCGCCCGGTAGTTGGCATAGATGTGGAGGGCAGTGAGGAGGAAGAAACATCCGAGGCTGAGGCTGAGGCAAGAGAGTGAGGTGGCCGTGCGGGAGGGGCCGGCGGGGCACCTCCCCCCAGCCCTGCTCCCGGCTTACCTCGGGCAGCCGGACACCAGAGGAAGCATCGCAAGGCTGACCAAGAGCCCCGCGAGGTTCACCAGCGTCTCCTGGAAAGGGGCAGAGGGGTCGGGAGTCGGGGGGTGACCCCTGCCTGCACTCACATCCTTGGGTGCTTCTCACCGCGCTCCTCCCTGCTCCGGGACTGCCAGGGCTGCGGCGGGGGCGCCAAGGTGAGTTTTAACACTTTGGGCGAGCCAGCTGCCCTTTAGAAGCCAGCTGCTCCTCCGCGCAGGAGGTAGCAGTGCCCTCACACGACCCTTGGAACTCGCCTTCTGTTTTGCAAGAGCAGCTGAGAAGCCCCGTACCAGGCACTCCCTGTTTTGGGGGACCTGTTTTGGGGGACCGCTTTTACACCGTGCTAAGAGGTAGATCTCTGTCAAATCCCTTGGCACTCAATATCTGGCAAGCAAACCTGCAAAGGGGCCAAAAACTACTCCGGAAGCAAAGCACAGGACCCAAGCCCTTGTGAACTGATGTTATCAGAACCCTCTGGGGTCAGACGGAAGTCCCCCAAGGGCAGAAGTCCTCAGGCTGCCTGCCCCCAACTCGTCCGGAGGGAGGAGGGACTCGTGCAGGTGCCCCTGACTACTGGAGGCCCAGGGAGAGCTGGTCCTGGCACAGGAGCGCCTGAAGCTAGAGCTCTTCATACTCAGTCCCGGCAAAGGGTTCGGGTTGGGCTGTGGATGAGTCAGCAAACCGGGGCCCAGGAGCAGAGGGAGCTCCTGAGAAGTCAGTCATTCCCTGCAGCCACGCACAGTGGTAAGAAAGCAAACTCAGCAGACAGCAGGGCCTGCAGCGGAACTGACGCCCAGGCCGCGCTGGGATGTTACTGCCTGGCCCAGGAAGCCCCGGAGCCCTGCAACGAACAGCAACGGGGCCAGGAGTAGGGGCAGGGCTGGCGGCCAGGAAATAGCCGGTGAAAAAGAACGGGCACAAAACCGGAGATCTTAGAGAAGGGCCTGGATGGTTCTTATTTCTCTCACTCCCGCTGCCCCCCAGTAATGGGGATGGAAGCCCAGGCTTTATTTTCAGACAGGTTCTGGCTATATTGTTAAGTTGCCCAAGCTGGGCTCAAACTTGTCATCCTCCTGTCTCAGCCTCCCAGAATGCTGGGATTACAGGTGTGCGCCACCATGCCCAGCTGATTTCTCCTGCTTTACGCAACTTCTGCAATTAGAGCGGGAAGAGACAGGAAGAACTAATGCAACCCATCCCCGAGAGAAGAGACCTGGCCGAGGGCACCCGGGCAGACTGGATGGCTCTGTTGTATTTCCTCACGTGTAAAGCCACGCGAATACTTACAGCACGATTGCACTGCAAGGACTGGATGAGCTCACAGAAAGGGAACCGCTGGCACACAGCGAATGCTTTAAAAACACTCGCTTGACTTATATTATCGGCAAAACAAAACAGAAGGCTGGAAAGGCCTGGATAGCACAGAGGTTTCTAAATCAAGGCAGCACCAAAAACCACTCCCATTTCTGGGACCTCACAAGTTCTCACTTCTCTCACCTATAAATCAGGAGAACAGGACTTGGGTCTAGCCTGAAAGTTGCGTGGTGCAATGGCCGTAGGCACCTAGCGCAGCGATGTGGGAGGATTTCATACCGACAGGGTTCATTCTCCATACCCCCTTGGTCTGATGCAGGGTGTGCTACAAGGGTTCGCTAACCCTCTGGGCAGTGCTCACAGCCCCGCACGCTGAGTTCGTTTTGACCTGCCTTTGTATGCCGGACCTCACATGATCAGACCACCAGCTCTGAGGGCGGGGCGGCGGCCTGCAGAGGGCAGCAGCTGGGGGCCGAGGAGGTCAGCCTGGACTCGCTGCCATCAGAGCTGTGCCCCCAGACGGGACTGCACGTCCTGAGAATCACAGCAGGAAGCTCTTGTGTTTCTTCCGGTGTCTTCCACCTGGATCCCTCACAGGGGTGCGCAGGGGTTTCTTTCATGTTTCCTAAACCGGGCCCCTCCACTCCCCACAGCCGCCCCCCATGCCGGCTGCTCACCTGGCTGCCGTCCTTGGCTGACACGTCGGCCATGTTGTTTCTCCGGGCCTGGTGCACGGTCAGTGCAGCCCGAGTGGCCCCGCCAGCCACACTCACAATGCACTGCGCGGGGAAAAGGACGCGTGAACGTCAGAGCAGCCCTGTGCTGTGTGGCTGAACACCTAGCTCGTGCCGGGCCTCAGGTGACCGCACAGCGCAGCTCTGCATGCTGTGCTTGGTGTCTCGCTCCTGCCCTGCAGCCCCCAAGCAATGCTGTCATCTGGGGGAAACTATGACCCTGTGGACCTGGCACCAAGGAAATGCATTTCCTTCCCCAAGGTGGAGGCCCAAAGGTCATTCTTTTTTTTCTTTAAAAAGAAATTTTTTTCTGAGACAACAAGGTCTCACTATACATTCTAGGCTGGCCTTGAACATACTATGTAGCCCAGGCTGGCCTCGAATTTATGGTCAACCTCCTGCCTCAGCCTCCCAAGTGCTGGGATTACAGGTGTGTGCCACCGAGCCCGGCCTAAAAATCGCTCTTAACCCAGAACTCCTCCCCTCATCCTTTCCCTTGCTAAGCAACCAGGCCCAGTCTGGCTTCCAAATTTATGTTTATAGTCTGCTTGTAATTTCGCTACACTTCCTGTCTCAGTGAAGCCCTATTCAGCCTTTCAGGCTAATTCCAAACCTACACCAGTGGCCCAGACCTCCCGTGGCACCTGGATTTCTTCTTCTGAAATCTCAAGCGGGCAAAGCTCACCGGGGAGGTCACAGATTACCCTCTTCCAGCCCACATTTCTCAGGCCTCTTGTAGGTGTGAGACACCGACTAAGGCGCTGTGATATGAGTCAGACACAGGCCCTACCCCCATGAAGCTCAGGACCAACAGATAAGAAGCGAGCAAGCTACTACAAGGACGGAGGAACAGTCTGTGAAGCCCAGAGACCAGTGGTGCGGAAGGAGGCTGGAGACGGCACGGCCCTGACCGTGCGGAGCCTTGTAAGTCTCGTTAGGGTCGGTGTCCTGAGAGAGCAGCAACGGGGCAGGGGAGGAGGAACCTGACTTGATCTTCGCTTTTAAAGGATTACTGGGCTGTTCTACAGTGAGAGACGAAGCAGAGACTCCAAGGACGGAAGGGTGCTTCTTCAGCAGCGGCGCTGACAGGGAGCGGAAGTTAGGGAGGAAAGTAACCGCTCAGTAGAGGTCTGGCTGAGGACAAGGCGGTGGGAGGAGGCGCGCACGACAGCCAGGCTGCTGGCTGGTGCAGCTGGGGAAGGAGTGCTGGTCCCTGAGACTGGAACCCTAGAGAGGGGCCCTACGGGGGAGTTCAGGCCCTGTTCCATCCCCTTACTTGACAGATGAGGAGACTGTCGCCCAAAGGCAGCTTCTAGGGCAGAAGGGAACACATGCCCAAAATCACGATCTTTGGTCTGCAGCCAGGCGGGGGTCTTCTCTGGGGTTCCAGACCCCCCCTTCTCTGGGGGTCTCCACGGGGGGGGGGGGGCTGGAGGAAGAGGTGCTCGTCACACTTAGTGCCTCTACCAGCACAACTAAGTGTCCCCTGGCACAGAGACCGGCTGCGCCCAGACACCAACAGGGCTTGTGCAGAAACACTATTCTCAAGCGATTTTAGAGCAGGCCTTTGACACGGGTCTGGCGTGAACCCCTGAGGCTTCACTCTCTGCGGAGGTTCTTGACACCCTGGTGAGGACGGGCTAGGTTCCGCCTTGCAGCTTCCCAGGCCTCAGCTTCTGCAGGTGAATGAAGCTGAAGGCGCTGTCAGAGCGCCCGGCACAGAAGAGCTTGCCTCCACCTGGCTGCCCCCTCACTCAGCGGCAGTGTTTTCTCATCCGTGGGCCTGTTTCCTCCTCCCAAAGACCCACCCGGCACCTTCAACTCATTCCTCAGGACCCAGCCTCAGGGGAGTTTTCTGCATGCCCTGGCCATTCTTCATCCGGGTACTGGGGCTTCCTTTCATAGATGGGAGGCCCTGTGTTCTGTGCCAAACATGCCGTAGGCACTCAATATGGTGGTCCCAAACCTGCCTTGGACCGGCTGCCTGAGGCCCTAGGGACCACCGGGCTAGAAGAAGATCAGAAAAGCTGGCTGGATCTCAGTAGAAATGTGTGAACGCTGTCTTTCTTTTAGAGGTGCCATGAGTACAGGTCCCAGAGGAGCTCACACACAGCACCACCAAGGCAGGTATCTGGGTGTACAGGTGCCAGGGAGTGGGTACCTTGGCCAGGTTGCTGGTGCTGACGGTCACAGTGAAATAGAACGGGAGCGCAGGGGCCACAATCTCGAGGAACATGGCTGCATCATTGAGGATATCAGCAAAAAGTCTGGGGAAAGCACCAGAGGTTAGAGGTCACCAATAAAATAATGTTCACAATAAAGGGCCCCGACCTCCCCTCTGCCCAGCCCCTCCTTACCGCCACTGCTTCACGTTGCAGTCCAGCTTGCTCCTGTTGGGGAGGAAAGGGTGCTGTAACGTAGGCTGAGGGGGAAACACCTGCTGGGGCAGTGTGGGCAGTCCCAGCCTTGGGACGGTCTAAAGGGCTGAGGGAGAAACGTCTCCAGGCAGACATCTGTCCTCATGTTCTGCTTGTTTCGCTGAGGGCACCCAGCAAAGGTTCATACACAGTAAGTATCCCGGTCTGGTAAACACTAAATTTACCATACGCTGCAGGTCACAGGTAACTAGCCCAGATCTCTGTGGAGCACGTGGAGAGGAGGGGTAGAGGCAACAAGAGGCCTGGCGCAAAGGGCTAGGCTGTCTCTACTGCAACGCCGCGATGGCTACCTCTTCGTGTCTCTGTGTCTGCCTGGCTTGTGCACATACACTTGGAGACCATTTCTCTCAGATCCCACCACCAGGAGCTGCTGCAGCTCCCAGCCCAGTGCAGAATGTGCAGCATTCGCTGAGCCGTAATGTGAAATCTCCTGCGGGGAAAGGCAGCGTTCCTGGGTGCGTCGGGCTTGGTCTAGGGTTCTGTCCGAAACAGCCTGATACCATGGAAAGAGTACAGGCCGTGTAGCTTAGGAAGTAACTTCGCCCTTCTGGACGTGTTTCACATCATTAAAATGTGCACGTTCAGTCTCACCCTACAAAGGTATCGTAAGGACTAGAGGTAACACACAGGGCTTGTGGGGCAAGTTCGAGCTAGTGTCACGAGCACTTCTTACGTGCCATGGGACACCGCCTTTGCAGACCACTGCACTGACCTGCAGAGTCACAGCGAAGGCTGACGCGGTTGCTATCATTACCCTGACACTGGGGTGCACTGCAGGAGCCTCTGACTGGGAAAAGAAACTCACCCTTTCCACCAGGCAAAGACGATGCGGCCCAGCATGCCAGTCGAATCTGGGGGAGAGAAGGCACTGGTTAGAACAGGGAGGAGTCTGGAGCTCAGAGCCGACAGCACCCTAGCAACAGTGGGTCACAGTGGCCTCGGCAGCTCAGTCTGGTACAGTAAGTTCTAGACAGACATGCAGTGCTCAGACCCAGCTGTCCTTTCCTACGTACTCAAGAGAACACATACCCACTGGGCTCCTAGCCGGTCTGCAGTAACACCTTCCATGGCCCTCCTCCTTTCTCTCACCTTGATCTCTTCCCTTCAAGTATATAATGTTCTAAACCAAATGTTCACCCTTCCACTTAAGGTTCTTATACTGACTTAATGTAGTACTCTGAACATGGCAAGATTATTTTTACTGGTTGACAGAGGGCCTACTGGATCAGACTTAATTTTTTCCCCCTTGACTCATATCCTATTAAGTGGGCATCCTCCCTGGGCCCTTGACAAAATGGGGGTCTTGTCTACCTTTCTGTGGGAAGCAGTATGCAGGGATCTTTACAAACCTGGAAGGTGGCTGTAGGATGCCCTCCCTACTGCCTGAAAGACAGTATTGTTCACTAGAATGAGAAACTTGATCTTTTCACCTATTCTTTTTTTGCTCAAAATTAGTAGAGCTGTAAGGTTTACTAGGGAATCAGCTGTTCACAAACTGTATTTGGCTTCACTCTAAAATCTTAAATAGCCAAAAAAAGTGTGGTAGATAAGAATGGGACAGAGAGTAAGTTGGCCTGGGTCTAAATTCTGGCCCTAAGTGATCTGAGACAAGTTCCTTGGCCTATCTGTGCCTGTTTTTCCATCTAAAAAATGAACTGGCTCCTGCAGAGAATAAGATACATAGGCCGTCATGATACTAGCTGCCAGCAGTACTACCACTGTTAGTTATGGCAATTAACATAATTCCAGTGGAGGTCTGTAACTGAAAACGATCACATCATAAAATTCCAAGGGTGTTTTTAATATGAAGCTCTGTATATAAATTTCCTATGTTTGATGGAAACAAGCTTGTAAAATCCTTTCTAATTAACAGAGTAGGTATTTTTTCATATCTTAAAATGGCCTTCTGTTTTCTTAACATATCTGAGCCAAGGGCACATACAGCTTCCATGCTCATGATAAAGACTGGGTGCTTAGAAATGACACAAAAAATCGACCCAACTGCATTCCAAAAACAGCCACCAGGACAGCAATGGAAAAGATCCAAGTGTAGCATAGTGCACTGACGTGGAAACGGACTGCGGTGATAAATCAACTGGGCTCAAATCTAGGTCCTGTCATTTAATGCATGCGTGACCCTGGGCAAGTTACTATTGCCTCAGTTTACCCCTTTACAAAATGGGGAGAATGGCAAGATCTTCAGATGCCACGAAGATCAAATCAGTACACAGAAAGACTGACATAATAAGCACGGTCAGCATGAATTATTATTGCTAGTATTCAAAAAAATAGACATCCAGGACAAGGCACAGATCACCACGGCTTCTAGTGTTTTCCCACACCGTCAGAGACGCGCCTTTCTAAACAGGTGACTATTATCTAGACAGCTTGCTCAGTCCGCTCAGTCTTAACTGTGCGGGCATAAGCAGAAGCCTCCTGATTTTCCGAGATTCAGGGAGAATCATCAGAGATGTGGCCAGGAAGACGTAGGAGAATTAGCATCCCCTTCAGTCCGATTTAAATACCCCTGGGGAACAGGAGTGAATGACAAAGGACAGGGAAACAGAACTGGAAACAGGTTTTCCTTTTTTTTCTCTACTTCTCTCTAGGTGGCAGAGTACCAAATTTTATCCTTTTTTTTTTTTTTTTCCTTCTTACTTGTTTTTCACAAAGCTGAATACAATCAGCAAATGGTCACTATAATTATGACAGCACATCTAATATCCCAGAGGATTCAGAGTACTTTTCATCCTTTCCAGAGCTTTCTCTTTCCTATTTAGGACCAATTCCTTTTTTCCTGGAACTAACCAATTTCCACCATCCTACGCAGCTGGCAGTTTTATTAAATAAATTGCATTTTCAATAGAGGTGAAGGGGAAGGAACACTTATTTTACGGATCTCGGATATTTATTCATTCATTTATTTAATTTTGAAACAGGGACTTGCTATATAGCCCAGGCTGGCCTGGAACTCGCGGCGACCCTCCCGCCTGAGCCTCTCAAGAGCTGGGAATTACGTGCACGCAGGCACCATCTTGCCTGGCCATGGGATCCAGACGATTTATAAGGGAAACAAGGGCAGCGGCTGGGCTGGTGCGCACGAGGAGGATATTCTAGCTGTGGGTAATAAGATGACGTACTAAAATCTGAGCAACGCAGTTGAAGCTAACAATATGTAATATAACAACCACTGTTAATTCCTATCATTTTGTCTTGAAACCCTGTACCACTTTTAATGTTCTTGCTTTGTTTCGTTTATGTTTGTGACGTTGGTATGCTGCTGTTTTTTTTTTTTTCTCGTTTACTATCTTTTAAAAAAAAAGATGACGTACCAAAACCTAGGTGCTCGAGGGAGCTGGATGCTAACTAACCGCGCACAAATGCACACATCGCAACGCAGACACCGGCTGGCGGGGGCGGGGCGGGGCTGCACGGTCGGAGCACCGAGAGGCCAGGGAGCGGGCTCGGCTGAGCCAACAGGTAGCGCTGCGAGGGTCCAGCTCACCTTTCACGAGCCAGGTGGCCGTGGCGGCCGCCAGGGAGGCCTCCGCGTTCCCCACCCCCAAGCCCAGCATGACCGCGTGGGTGGCCAGGGCGCCGGAGAGGCTGGAGGCGAAGGCCTGGGGGGAGAAAGAAGGGGGTGCGCGAGCCCGGGGAGGTTACCTCCCGTCCCGGCGGCCTCGGGCCCCGCCCCGCCCCCGCCGCCCGCGCACCTGCACCGAGTCCCACGTCTGGTACGGCACGTAGTCGGGGCTGACGCTGTCCGGGAAGCCCTGGGGCAGCAACACGGCCTTGAGGCCCGAGAGGGGCGGCATCGCGGCCATGGGGGGCCCCCTGCCGCCCCGCTCGGCTCCTTCGCGTTTCGGGGTGAAGGCGTGGGAGATCCTCCACCAGGGCCAGCCCCCCGCCTCCCACTGCAGGCTGCCGTCCGCCGCCGCGCGGCAGCTCCGCGCGGCCTCGGAGCCGAACTGCTCGGAGCACAGCGTGCTCTCCCGACCCGCCGCGTCAGCCATCCTGGATCTCTCCGCTCCAGCCCTGCTAAAAAAGCAACGCAACAAGTTAGGCTTCCGGCTGGCCTATGGCGGCTGCCGAGGGGCAATCTTCCTTTGTACAGCTGGCAAACCGGACACTGTGCCCTTTGACCTTCCGGCCCTGCGTCACACACCGCAGAGGGGGGCCAGCCTTGGCTGCAGGAGCAACCAGGGCGCCTTGGCCCTGCAAAACCCAGACGGAATTTCTTGTGGCTTACAACTTTCAGTAATGGGGAGAAGGACAGAAAGCATCTTTAGGGAAGTGGTTAAGGTGGAGACTCCCTTGAGCTCAATTTTTAGTTGTATGACTTTGAGCAAGCCAGGGTCCTTCTCTGGGCCTCAGGTGCCTTCGTTCCTGGGAGGCCAGGGACCATAATTTTCTCCCCAGTAGTACCTAACTTATAGCAGGTGCTCGAAGATATTAATGAATGAATGCATGACTGTTCACAGAGCTATAAGTTGAAAGCCCTGGCTTGGGGGTCCCAACAGACCAGGCTGGCCACCGGCTTCCGAACAGTCATTAGCGAAGTGCACAAAAAAAAGAGCTTTAATCAGCATGACCATGCAGAGAGCAGATAGCTATGTAAGACCTGACTTCCAGGGTCTGACAAAAACTTTTTTGAAGTTTTGTAGAAAAGGGGAACACACCGGGCGTAGTGGCTCATGCCTGTAATCCCAGCACTCGGGAGGCTGAGGCAGGAGGATGGTTGCGAGTTTGAGGCCAGCCTGGGCTACAGAGTGAGTTCAAGGCCAGCCTGAACTGCATAGTGAGACCCTGTCTGAAAAAAACAAAACCAAAAAAAAAAAAAAAAAAGGGGAACAAAGGCAAGGGTTGGGAAGTTTGTATAGCTTCCAGGATGGAGCGGGTGGAGGTGTGGCCAAGCTGTCAGGGTAGCTAGTCCTGGTCCAGTCCCTGCTCTAGATTACTTAAGACTGTTCTGTGAGGGGGCTTCAGAGAAGTCCTTAATGCGTGAGGGTGTTAGGCAAGTAGTTAGACATTAGCAGGCCTGGGGGGACAAAGGAGAATAAAACAAGCTTTGTCAATTATAGTAAGACAAAAAGACCTCAGTGTAATAATAACGTTTATAACCATCTATTAGGTCTCAGACCAAAAATATGCCTACACAGCATAATGAAATTTCAGGGTCAAACAGTGTGCACAGCTGGACTGCATAGCCAGCCAAAACTTCAGGGGTTTATTCTTAAACCAGGCAGCTAGACTTTCAGCGCTCCCAGTTGCTATGACCAATGGCCCAGCGATAACAAAAATGAGAACAAAAGTAACATTTCAAGACCCTGGGTTCAATCCCCAGTACCACTACGATAGATAAATAAAATAGTGCTGGAGATATAGCTCAGTGCCAAGGCCCCAGGTGCAAATCTCCAGTATCAAGAGAGAAGAAGAGAGACGAGAAGGAGGAAGAGAGAAGGAAGGGGAGGAGGAGAGGAAAGGGAGAGAGGGAGAAGGTTCTTGTGTGTTTACTTGGGGAGAGGGTCCATGGAACTGGGGGAAGCATCTAAAGCCAGTGTTTCTCTCCCTCCAAACCTATCTCTTCCTCTCCCCTTTCCTTCCATTTAGTGCAGTGTAATGAAACCAAACTAGAAATTTGCCAAAAGCATCCTTTCTCTTTTCTTTCTAGTAAGAAAATAAACTATCATGGTTACTGTCCCCTTCCCCATTCGACCCCAGCTTACAACTTGCTACTTGAACTTCTCTTTCTCCCTATCACCTTCCTCCTGGACTTCAGCCTGGAACGCCCTTCTACCCTTCCTCACCTTATCTGGGGCAGATTCTCCCATCCAGAGTCTCTCAAGAGACTGTGAAAAACCTGAGTACATGTTAAAAAAAAAATTTAAGTGTCCTGGTAGATCAAAAAATTGAAGGGTTACAAGCGTTCTGTTGTAATTTTAATGTTAGCTTCTGTGAGTGTGCTGACGTCTGAGGCCAGCTTCTATGAATGAATTCCACCAGAAGACCTTCCTCTGAATGCAGGTTCTGTCTGAGTTCGTACCTATGAGGGAGATCTTGGGTAAAGATGCACAGCTTTAATGCCGGTTATTTTGGTGAGGGCAAAAATGACACAAATCTGTTGAAAACAGACGTTAGGAAAACTATTTAAAAAGAAGAAAAAGCATCTCTGCTTTACTGAGTACTGGGCGATACGGTGGTGAACAAGACTAACTCGTGTCCATTCTTGGGGAGCACACGCGGGCAGGGTCCCCTCCTGGCCTCTCATAGATGGCTCTCAGCAAAATGTGTCTAAAAGGGTATTTTTAATAATGATGAATGCATGCTTGAAACAGCACTGGGCACCAATGAAGAGATGCAGTGGAAGCTGCTATTACTGGACCATCGCTGGAGCTGGACAGTAATTGCCCTCCCGCTGTGGCCAGGGTGTGAACGTGCCTGCCTGGCAGCAGGGGCTTGGTGTTCGTTTCCTTCGCCTTTGGAGCTGGGCCATTGGTTGTCAGGGAGAGGGCAGATGTATGTTTTGGGTTTGGTCTTGCATTTTCTGGATCTCTTCATTTATCTGTCTTTCTTAGCCTCCCTATCTTTCTCACTCCAAGGAAGCCTCACCCTGACTCTCCACCCAAGCTGACCTATCATCTTCTCTCAGGACCTAGTTGTAGGGCGTTTCCTTCCCAAGCCGACACTTGAGTCCTTGCCTGCGCCCAGCTGAACGCAAAGTAGCTACGTACCCTGAAGTGTGTGGGTAAAACAGACTGTGCCGCTGGATCTGAAGGTGAGTCCAACTTGGAAGAAATGTGAGCTCAGAGCCCAGCAGGATTTGCAGGGTTTTGGGGAGGAGGTGACCCTGCAGGGGATGCGGGGTCTTTAAGGGGGAGTGAGAGGATTGGGGGAAACACCCACCAGTGAGGGAAAAGGCTATTTACATTCTACCTTTTTCTGTAGGCAGATGGCTCTTCTTCAGGCCAATAAGGACCTCATTTCTACGGGAATGAAGGAATTTAATGTTCTGCTGAATCAGCAGGTAAGGAGGCTACGTGCTGGGTAGGTGTGGAAAGGATGTGTTGGGTGAGGGCAGTTACTCCGGGGAAATAACTGTAAGCTGTGAGGGAAATGGTGGGGGTGATAGAAACAACTAAGGACAGGGAACACAAATTAGAGAAAAGAGGATGGGAGAGTTCGTGAGCCTCTTCTGATACTCTTGAGTCTCGTTCTATCTCGCCTGGCCCCGTCCCCCAGGTCTTTGATAACCCTCTGATCACAGAAGAAGACATGGTGGTGATCGTGGATGACTGGATGAACATCTACCTCAACTTTTACGGGCAGCGGATGGCAGGGGAGAAGGAAGAGCAAGACAAAGCCCTGCAGGAGTTTCAGCGAGAGCTCAAGGCTCTGGCCAACCCTTTCCTGGACAAATACAGGGCCTTCCTGAAGTCCCATGAGGACGTGAATCACGCACCGCCTTCCTCCTAGCCCAGAGGCCCAGGCCTTCCTGTCTAAGGGCCCGGCAGTCCTGCCCCGTGCTCTTCCTGTCCTCAGGTGATGGTCCTTTAGGGTGTTGCTCTACCCTGACATCCCAATAAATACCAGTTTGACTGAACCTTCTGGCACTTCGTTGTTTCTCTCTGACTTAGGAAGGCAGTTGGTCCCTCCTTGTTCAACTCTCCTTCTTAGATGTGCTCTTGGGGGCCTTAATTCAGCAGCAAAGGTGAGCAGTTTTAGTAACTCCTTGTATACTAATGAGGTTGAACCTCCGTGGGTTGAGGGACCTGGGCCCGTGGTAAGCGGCGACACGGTGCAAAGAAGACACCGGAGACCAGGCTGATGGCGCAGATCCACTTTATTGCGGAAGTACCAGGCATTTTATTGAGTAGGCTAGAGGCGTGGCAATGGAGGCGGGCTAGGGGAGTGGTTTGGAGGCGGTACTTTTGGCTGGGGGCTGTGCGAAAGTAAGAGGTCAGAGCGGGACAGCCTAGGCAGGGCGACTCACTCGGTGTGCCGAGGACATGACGAGTCTGAGTGTGTTCAGACCCGCTCCTCTGCCACGGCCGCCAACCAGACCTCTGGACCTCTCTTTCCCACATATTAACATAGGCTGAAGGATGGGATAGGCAACCAAGGCCTAAAGAAAAAGTGCTGGGTCAAGAAGGGTGATAGAAGGAGGAGACAGAAGCCCTCCAGTCTCTCTGATGCATTTGTCTAGCAGGAAGTTGTTGCCTATCTCCTTGTTCGGTCTGCACCGGATCCACTGCCTCCATGTTCCCCCGGCTTTGGTTTAAACAGTGCTCTAGGATCTTATAACTCGGACACCCAGAGGATCACAGTAATTTGGAGTTGTAGTGGATCTCGGGAGCCCTTCAGCGTGTCCCTTATACTTCCGACTTGAAACTCCTTATCTTTGGCTTCTCTGTCCCTCAGCCCCAGATCCCGGAGCAGATTTCCCAGATGCCCCAATCTTTCTGTCAGACTCCTATACTCTTACTTTTGGGCTGTGGGATAGTACCAGGGCTGAGCCAGGCTTACAGGCTTTGGAAAAAAATAAACGAATCTCCTCCCTACCTCGTGCTGGAGATGGAACCCAGGAGAGCTCTGCCCTGAACTTCATACCCAGCCTTTTTCATTTTTAAAATTTTGTCCACAAGGCTATGTGTCTGAGAGGCCACCGCCCACACAGGGAGAGTTCACAGGAAGGAGGGGTGGGCCAGAAGGCTAAGTCAGTCAGATGAGGTGTGAGGTGTATGCCAGGACCTCCCACCTGCAGTGACTTTCTGTGTCCCCTGTTCTGTGGGAAAAGTTTGGGTCTGGAAGGAGTTGTTCCCTAGTTCCTGTCACCAGCAGGCTTTCTCTTCCTGACTGTGAACCCTACCCCCTTTTGGTTTTGCAGTCTTGTTCAGGGTACAGAGGGAACCAGCTGTGTCCGCAGCCATTGTTCCAACCTTAGAGGTGTGAGGAGGCCTCAGGTTCACCAAGAGAGTGGTGATGCCCCATGAAAACAGCCTGTGAGCCCCTCATAGACGTGGCTGGGGCTTTCCCGTTGTACCTTCCAGGAAATCTTCATTTGTCTGTGGGGACTACAGCCCCATGTTTGCAAAAAGTCCTGGCTCAGTATGCATGGGTGGAAGAGCATGACGGAAGAACAGTATGCAAAAGTTATATTTGCATTGTTGCTGTGAGCAGTATAGCTGCAAAATTCATCTAAAGCCACTTTGGGCCCACTTCACAGAGACAGTCTTTCCATAAATTTAGAACAGTCAGGGCCGGGGATCAGCGCCTGCCTGGCAAGCACGAGGTCCTGAGTTCTATTCCTGGTACAAAACAAAAAAAATCAGAACTATCCAGCCTTGGGAACTATTTAGCTAACCATTTCTCATGTGTTCAAAGGAAGTGGCCAATCAATAGGGATGTGGTAGAAAGGATTCTTACAGTGGGTGGGGAGTTCAACATCTGAACTCTGTTCTAACCAGTGTTTGAGACACTGCCAAAAAATTCTTTTAGGACAGAAAAACTGTTTAATGGCACTGCATGTTCTTACATTCTTATTACCTGTGAATCCAATCAAAAGTCTACCTAGAAGTAACATTTGGAATATTTTTATTTTTCAGAAATGATATGAACCATTAAGACCTGATGGTCCATAGTAAAGATAAAGGTACTGTTGTAGTTTGGAGTTTTTCAAGGGGAACAC